CTGGGTTCAGGTATTCACTTACTGGTTTTTTTTTGTCGTGTGCGGGAATCGAACTCACGGTTTCCTGGGGTTCACAGTAGCTCAGTGCGCTAACCACTGCGCCACCACTCTCCCATAATGCACACACGCGTATACACTGCCGCCCTGCTCTGCCTCACTCGCACGCAACACCCTCCCAAACTCAAGACTCTGGTACAAAATCCTCTCTCTAATTGTCGAACCCTTTAAACTAAGAAGCCGGGTTTCTCCCATTATCCTCGGTCACAGATTATTCCACGGATTATTGGTTTGCTTACTCAAGACCATTGAGATAATACGAAAATAGTTGTCGGAGAAGATGTCTCACGCGTGCCGCTGGACGGGAGGCTATAGGCGGGTTAGATGACGTAAATGGGCGTGGCTTATAAGGGGGGGTGGTGGCAGGGGGGGTTTCCCACCTTCACGAGGAAGAATATCATGGTGGCCGCCACATTTAAAGGGGCCCCAAGTGTTTTAACATATTTAAGTACTGCAATCGAATGCAATTCTGTAGTGAATTAATTAATATAATCGACGAATCTCCCAGCTTGGGTTTGCCGCATGTCAGGATTGGAATTTGGCATCTGTTCGGGTGGCAGGAATTGATTTGGCGCTGTGTTTGACCTCCCACTGCTCTCGTACTGCACAGGTTTCACAGGCCTGGGCCGACCGCGCTACGGTGGCGAGAAGTTAACCACCTAGACCGCAGGAGTTCGTGGGTTCGATCCCGACCCCGACGCCTATATATTTGGAGTTTGCGCGTCTCTCTCCCTGTGGTGGCGTGGATTTTCCTCGGGGTCCTCCGGTTTTCCCCCTCCGCGTTTAGAACAAGCAAAAAAAGATACATGGCCGCGATAAATGTCCACGTGATGATGAGCCACTTCGTTGAGCTGTTATTTGTGGCCAGGTCGCTTCTGAAAAAGACGTTGCAGCTCAGCGGGCCTTACCAGATTAAAATAAATAAAAAAAATATTTAGTCTTAGAAATACGCTCCGGGTTTGCTCCGTGGAAAAAGTGGCAAAACTCGACCTCGCAGCGAGCTCTACCGTGAACACAAACACCAGAAAATCCTCAAACTATTGGCGCACTCACGACGTGTTTAGCTCAGGGGGTGCGGCAGTCCGTCAGGTGGGGGGGGGGGGGGGGTCCCGATATTTAATTTGTCTCGCACGGTCGCACCTAGGGGACTTATTATATATATCGTGGCTCCTGTCGGAGCGTAAATGACAGCATTTATGATAATCATAAACCGCGTTTAAAGTAAGTGTTCGCGTGCACTGTTGTTGAAAACGGATCCCATGGTTGGTTGTCAAGGGGGGGGGGGGGCAACTCGTGGCTTTGGCCACCTGGGGGTAGTTGGGGGCGAGCAAGGCACCCCCCCCCCCCCCGTGCCTGCCCCACGCTCGTCACGCTACCACCCCGAACACTCCATCGCCCATCATTCATTGCAGGCCCCGTAAATTGTTTCAGAACCATTTAAAACAAAACCCCAGCGTCAGTCCCTCGCGCGTTGTCACCACGGCGCTTTTAGCGGAACCGGGAGATAGCGACACAAGCAGGTGCCTACAGGGTGAACACCCAAGGTGCCTGTAGGGTGAACACCCAAGGTGCCTGTAGGGTGAACACCCAAGGTGCCTGTAGGGTGAACACCCAAGGTGCTTGTAGGGTGAACACCCAAGATGCCTGTAGGGTGAACACCCAAGGTGCTTACAGGGTGAACACCCAAGGTGCCTACAGGGTGAACACCCAAGGTGCTTACAGGGTGAACACCCAAGGTGCTTGTAGGGTGAACACCCAAGGTGCCTACAGGGTGAACACCCAAGGTGCTTGTAGGGTGAACACCCAAGGTGCTTGTAGGGTGAACACCCAAGGTGCCTGTAGGGTGAACACCCAAGGTGCCTGTAGGGTGAACACCCAAGGTGCCTGTAGGGTGAACACCCAAGGTGCTTACAGGGTGAACACCCAAGGTGCTTGTAGTGTGAACACCCAAGGTGCTTGTAGGGTGAACACCCAAGGTGCCTGTAGGGTGAACACCCAAGGTGCCTGTAGGGTGAACATCAAAGGTGCTTGTAGGGTGAACACACAAGGTGCTTATAGGGTGAGCACCCAAGGTGCTTGTAGGGTGAACACCCAAGGTGCTTACAGGGTGAACACCCAAGGTGCCTACAGGGTGAACACCCAAGGTGCTTACAGGGTGAACACCCAAGGTGCCTACAGGGTGAACACCCAAGGTGCCTACAGGGTGAACACCCAAGGTGCCTGTAGGGTGAACACCCAAGGTGCTTGTAGGGTGAACACCCAAGGTGCTTGTAGGGTGAACACCCAAGGTGCTTGTAGGGTGAACACCCAAGGTGCTTGTAGGGTGAACACCATAGGTGCTTGTAGGGTGAACACCATAGGTGGTTATAGGGTGAACACCCAAGGTGCTTATAGGGTGAACACCCAAGGTGCTTGTAGGGTGAACACCCAAGGTGCTTGTAGTGTGAACACCCAAGGTGCTTGTAGGGTGAACACCCAAGGTGCCTGTAGGGTGAACACCCAAGGTGCCTGTAGGGTGAACACCCAAGGTGCTTGTAGGGTGAACACCCAAGGTGCTTATAGGGTGAACACCCAAGGTGCTTGTAGGGTGAACACCCAAGGTGCTTACAGGGTGAACACCCAAGGTGCCTACAGGGTGAACACCCAAGGTGCTTGTAGGGTGAACACCCAAGGTGCCTACAGGGTGAACACCCAAGGTGCTTGTAGGGTGAACACCCAAGGTGCTTGTAGGGTGAACACCCAAGGTGCCTGTAGGGTGAACACCCAAGGTGCCTGTAGGGTGAACACCCAAGGTGCCTGTAGGGTGAACACCCAAGGTGCTTACAGGGTGAACACCCAAGGTGCCTACAGGGTGAACACCCAAGGTGCTTGTAGTGTGAACACCCAAGGTGCTTGTAGGGTGAACACCCAAGGTGCCTGTAGGGTGAACACCCAAGGTGCCTGTAGGGTGAACATCAAAGGTGCTTGTAGGGTGAACACACAAGGTGCTTATAGGGTGAGCACCCAAGGTGCTTGTAGGGTGAACACCCAAGGTGCTTACAGGGTGAACACCCAAGGTGCCTACAGGGTGAACACCCAAGGTGCTTACAGGGTGAACACCCAAGGTGCCTACAGGGTGAACACCCAAGGTGCCTACAGGGTGAACACCCAAGGTGCCTGTAGGGTGAACACCCAAGGTGCCTGTAGGGTGAACACCCAAGGTGCTTGTAGGGTGAACACCCAAGGTGCTTGTAGGGTGAACACCCAAGGTGCTTGTAGGGTGAACACCATAGGTGCTTGTAGGGTGAACACCCAAGGTGCTTGTAGGGTGAACACCCAAGGTGCTTGTAGGGTGAACACCCAAGGTGCCTGTAGGGTGAACACCCAAGGTGCCTGTAGGGTGAACACCCAAGGTGCCTGTAGGGTGAACATCAAAGGTGCTTGTAGGGTGAACACACAAGGTGCTTATAGGGTGAGCACCCAAGGTGCTTGTAGGGTGAACACCCAAGGTGCTTACAGGGTGAACACCCAAGGTGCCTACAGGGTGAACACCCAAGGTGCTTACAGGGTGAACACCCAAGGTGCCTACAGGGTGAACACCCAAGGTGCCTGTAGGGTGAACACCCAAGGTGCCTACAGGGTGAACACCCAAGGTGCTTGTAGGGTGAACACCCAAGGTGCTTGTAGGGTGAACACCCAAGGTGCTTGTAGGGTGAACACCATAGGTGCTTGTAGGGTGAACACCCAAGGTGCTTGTAGGGTGAACACCCAAGGTGCTTGTAGGGTGAACACCATAGGTGCTTGTAGGGTGAACACCATAGGTGGTTATAGGGTGAACACCCAAGGTGCTTGTAGGGTGAACACCCAAGGTGCTTGTAGGGAGAACACCCAAGGTGCTTGTAGGTTAACCGAGGCAATTGCCCCACATTATAACACCCATAAATGATCCCCATTTACAACCACCCCTACGCACGGATCTCACGCAACGCGCCAACGCCCTAACGCCGCTGATCTCCACAGCGCCGCTTGATGATCTACTCGCATTCACTCGCCCGGCCACCGATACAGAAACACCCAACGCACAGAGACCCCCCCCCCCCCCCCCCCCCCCCCCGTGTAGCCTTCAACAGACTGCCGGGGCCACGTGCTGAACGGAACAGACGCGTTACGTCACACACACACACATAAGTCTATCACAGGACTCTTGGACAACGATTGACCCTGTCTGCGGCGACAAACAAATTCAATATCAGGGATCGTGCAATCATCGTCGTCATGTATAGCGGTGGTCCGGCAGCTCAAGACGACACCTGCAACACGGGCTGAAATTCGGGTCATTATCCGAAACGTCACCAATTATGTTTTCCTTTTAGGCGTTGTAGGTCAATGTGTTTATGTGCGTTGGTATTTGGTATTTGTGCTTGTGTACCACTGCCAACACGTGCATCATCATTTCAATGTTGTCTTTATTTTGACGAAGTGAAATGAGTTCACGCGCAGGAGGAGTGGGATGGCTCGTGGCGAGAACATCGTGAGCGTAAGAATTTATTATTTACTATGTTTTGATTTAAAGCTTTCGTGACTGCAGGGATTCATATTCTTGGTTCTTTCGGTAAAGTCACGTAGAAGGGAAACAATAAAATAATAAAAAAATGAAACAATAAATTTCCCACGACGTTTCGACTGCAACACAAGCAATCATCATCAGGTGAAATTTTCTTGCTGTGGAAAATTTGAAATTTGCAGTTGTAAGGCTCCTATGTTGACGTTTCGACCGCAACACAATCAATTATCATCAGGTGTGAAAACCACAGCAAGAAAATTTTAAAATTTGAGATTTTCTTGCTGTGGAAAATTTGAAATTTTCTTGCTGTGGTTTTCACACCTGATGCTGATTGCTTGTGTTGCAGTCGAAACGTCGTGAGAATTGTATTGTTTTATATTTTTATTATTTCATTATTTCCCTTCTACGTGACTTTACCGACAGAACCAAGAATATTTACTATGTATCACGCACTTGCTGTGAGAGTGTGCGAGGGGACGTGACAAAAATGAGATCTGCAGTTGTAAGGCTCCTATGTTGACACCCACGATGATGGGCCTTGGTTTAATCTCGACGTATATCCGCTGAGGTAAAAATGTATTTTTTTTTCTAAAAAGAGACGTTGATTATTTTCGCCCAGTCCGTCTGAAAAGTCTCTCCCCCCAAAAATTGAGAGCAACAAAATTGGGATTCCTGACTCCCGTCGTACGGACAAACTAACAAACAACAACAACAAAATCCATGCACGTGCGGTGTGTCTAAATAATAAATTGTGAAGTCACGATGACCCCGCGCTTAACAAACAACAAGAAAGATTACAGCTCATCTTTCTCGTCTGATGACTGATCTACGTCATCTTCCACCTCTGCTTCATCCTGAGAACAAGAAAAAACACACACACGCAAACGCTTCGTGAGGCACACTGCAACAATGGGCGTGGGTTGTTCAGCAACAGTTGGGCATGTAGTAGTAGTAGTAGGCCTTCGCGAACAATATCATTCATAGCAAAGGTTCTATGGGTTACATCGCGTAAATATAAATGCGTCCTTAACCCACCGCCACCCAACACGGAACAATTAGTAAGGTTTGTTACGTTAACAAAACGTGCCAATGAGTCACTACACGATCATTAGTTGCTACATGATAACGATGAAGTAGTAACTGATGGGCACGTTTTGCTCACGTGACAAACCTCACTAATTCATCGCGGGTTAACAGCACATTCATAATACTCATTGGATTTTTCTTGCCGCTCTCTCTCTCTGGACCCTCCCCCCCCTAACCGTAATTCCTATTTAAGCTTCTGTTCTTCCCTCTGGCCCCCCTCTCTCTCTTTCCTTGCCTCCCTGTCCGTCTTTCCTCCCTCCTTACCTCTTGGTGGACTTGTATATGTATTTCTACTGACCGTGTACCTCGTATTTTTTCACTTTTTTCACTCTTTCTATGCTGGTTTGTGGAATCCAGAGGTTGAACACGAAATTTAACACTCTTATGAAATTCGTGGTCCGCCAGGAAGTGTCTAACTGTGTTGTTGGCCTGACTGGATGTGCTTCACATAATGTTTTTTTCAGGTTTGTTGAATTCTCGTCTCTCATCTTTTTGTTGTATTTACCTCCGTGATTTGTTCTTGACACCTGATGAAGATCGCTTGCGTTGTGATCGAAACGTCGTGATTGTTTTTTTGTTTCAATATAACTTTATTGTATTTCTACATACGTGACTTTACCGAAAAAACCAATGAGTAATTTTATGCAGTCACGAAAGCTTTAATACTTTATCAACACATTCATATTTACGAGATCTAACCCGTGAAACCTTTATCGTGTTCAGAAACAGTCCACGCGGCATCGGACGGTCTTCCCGAAGACTTTTCCTTTGGCCGCCAGGCCCGCCCGCCCTGCCCGCCCAGCCCGCCCGCTCGTGCAAACCGACTCTCACGTCTGCGGGTGCCTCTTCCGCCTTCTCCGATTCTGGATTCCCACCGCTGTCCAGAAACTTGCTGAAAGCCTCCAGAGTCTTGTCTCCATTGTAGTCGACGATCTGCGGGGTCACCAGCACGCGGTTTAGCACGAGCAGCTTTTTGTGCTAACCATGGCACAGCCACCATTGGAAGGGTGGCTGGGGCAGATGGCAGAGGTGGGGGGGGGGGGTACAGTCAAGGTCATGATGTGTGGATAAAGGGACCGCAAAAGAAAGAGAGGCCGTCCATAAATGACGTCACGCACCTGGGGGGGGGGGGGGGAGGGGGGTCAGACATTTGTGACGATGTGTGACGAGGGGGGGGGGTTTGAGAAATGTGACGTCACGTAAAAATGCGCAATTTTAAATAAATATTGATTAAATAGAATTGTTATAACAACACAATTTTAAAAAAAAAATCATTATTAACTGTTTGATCCTTTAAATTTACTAAGGCCACCTTTTATTTATTCCATGAAGGAGCATTTTGCTTCTCCATGGGAGAATGGAGAAGCATACAATTTGAAAAAATATTGTTATTTAACATTTTTATTCAAATGATTCTACTAGGGCTTTTCATTATGTAGAATGAATGTGATTGTTATAATTGTACTCTTCATTTTGCCTCGTTCTACTACAAAATTTAAAGTATTTTTTTATAGTTATAATTACGTTTAATATTTAATAATTATAAGAGAATTTCAATATAATATTCTGAACATCTGCAGTTTTAGTTGAACGTTGAATATTTTCAAGTAAATTTTATGCTAAATTTCTCCTACAACATCAGAGTGCAGCGCCATATTAAATACGCACTACAATGACAATAGTTTAAAGCGATTTGAAGCATGTTTTATTTTTATAATGGAAATATGTTTTTTGCGGGGGGGGGGGAAGACAGAGCTTTGTGACGTCACTTTTAAGGGGGGGGGTCTGACTTTTTGTGACGCCGTGTGACGAGGCGGGGAGGGGAGGGGGCAAAAATCTTCCAAAATCGCGTGACGTCATTTATGGACGGCCCCAGAGAGGAGATGATGGGAAATTAAAGAAAAAGGAGCAGAGGGTCAGGTGAGATGAGGATAAACAGTGACTACACCAGGGCCTCAACGTTGAAACTAAAACTATTTTTTTATTTTACCAGGTAAGGCCCACTGAGCTACCCACGAGCTCAACGAAGTGGCTTATCACGTGGACATTTACAGCGGCCGAATACTCTAAACAACGCTTGCTGAGTCTCAATGTGCAGGGGGAACAAAACCGCAGGGACCCAGTGAAAAATCCCACGCAAACCCAAGGGGAGAGGGACGTGCCAACTCCAAATATACGCGCGCCAAGGGTCGCGATCGACCCCCGAGAACCTCCCGTGTTGCCAGGCGAGGTGGTCCGACACCTCGCCACCGCCGGTTGCTCACCTTGCGCCCAGCGCCCGCCGGGAAGAACTTGATCATTGGGTAGCTCGTCACCTTGAACGCCTCCAGGTCGTTCTTGGTGGCGTCCATCTTGGCGATGACGACGTCGTCGCGCTCCTGGTAGCGGTCGCCCAGCTCGTCCCACACGGGGGCCAGCTTCTGGCAGTGGCCGCACCACTCCGCGTCTGGTGGGGGGGGGGGGGGGGTGGTGGTTACGCAGCTCTGTGGAGGCAGCGGCGAGGGTTTGGTGGATCGCGCGCAGATGTTGCGCGGAACTCCCTTGGACATCGAGGACTCTACCCGCTTCATCCGTGCGGGATCGAGCGTTTCCCCCTCGCGCGTGGGTTTTTCTCCGGGTTCTCCGGTTTACCTCCGACGTGCGTCAACACTCATCGATGGGCCGATAACACCTTAATATGTAGAAGACCGCAGAGCTTCGTGGGAGGAATTTGGCTGCGGCCTTGCCAGCTCGTCTCTGGTTCCTCCTGGCGCCTCCGAGCCGTTCTCTCTCTCTCTTCACGAGTGAGCGAATGCCAGTGGACATGAATAATATTATGAATATTATTATTATGAGAAAATCCTTTACGTACGAGCAAATTTCCACTCGCCGGACAAACGGGAAGGGACTGTGAAAACAATTACTTAATCACAGAAAAAAAAACCCCGGGGGGTGGAGGGGGTGGAGGGGGTGCTGGTAAAAGAGAAAAATTAAAACACGTCTTGGAAAAACGGAAGTTTGCAGAAAAATCACAGTAGAGCAAAAAAATAAATTAAACCATGCTATATTTCTTTATCAAGTAAGTTATTTCTTTGAACTGGGTTTGTTTTTTCTTCCCCCCCCCCCCCCCCCCTAATGAGGAAGCAACTAAATGACAAAATCCGAGTTTGGAAATACCCCGCCAGGACTGTCACTTGGGGTCACAGGTTCGGAGAGGAGCCAGGAAGATGCCCCACCGCCGTGGCGAGGACTTCCACCTGTCCGGGGGTTTCCGAGGATTGTTCCCACCCCCCACCCCCCCCCCCCCCCCCCCCTTGTCGAGGCAGCTGCCCTGGGAAATATCGAATTCTCCCCCGGGGCATTCATTGTAGGTCTGTGGTTTTTTTGTTTGTTTGCTTGTGTCAGTTGGGTAATAACAATAATGATATTTCCACGTACGCGTATAAAGTTGCTTTTTAAATAAAAAAAAGCAAGGATCTTAAAGCGCAGTAACAAGGCAGCAGCAGACAATCAGCACGAAGGTAACTCACGCAATTAGACACTAAGACACGCTGCAAAATAATAATAATAAAACATCTTCTTTGGTTCTTTTGGTAAAGTCACGTAGAATGAGAATAAAATAATAAATTGATCAAATAAAATAACACAATAAAATTCTCACGAGGTTTTGACCACAGCACAAGCGGCCTTCATCAGGTGAAGGGACGAGAGTGTCTGGAGGACAGCGCTTCACCTGATGAAGACCACTTGTGTTGTGGCCGAAACGTCCTGAGAATTTTATTGTATTATTTTATTAATTTATTACTTTATTCTCATTCTACGTGACTTTACCGAAAGAACCAAGGAAGATGAATCCTTGCAGTCACGAAAGCTTTAAATCGAAATAAAAAACCAAACAACTAAAAGCCATTTTTGATGAATTAGCTACAAGTTGAATGAACGGATGTGCATAGAGATAAGATTTAAGACAAGCATTCAAAATATCCGCAGGCTCGAGATACTGCTTGGCATTTCGTGGGGGGGGGGGGAAAGAGTTCCAGCATCCGGGCGCTACATGGGAAACCATGGCAGGCAGATGCGGGGTTACCCGATGTACAAGTGGGAAATGAAAACAGACTCTCCTGCAGTAGTGTGCGACTGCGTTCGTCCAGAAAGGACCAATGCAACGAGTCACGACGCGATGCCCCCCGATCCACGAATTCCCAAGGAGACATCATGGCGATACGCGACTCCGCTGCTCCAGACGCGGGTTATCTGTCTGGCTTGACCCACCTGAATGTGAATTTGTAACCGTTGCTCTGCCATCTATATTAGCAGTCGTACAGAAGATGACGAAGAAGAAGTGAAAGGTGGAGGGGGGGGGGAAGGAGCAAGGAGCTGTCGCCCATCGACCAAAGCCTTGGCCTGGAATCCACCGCTCGGGACAACGCTTTTCCACGTCCATTAGTTCTCCCCCTCTTCCCACATTTGCGAGAAGTTCTCTACGAGAAAGGTTTCCCTCGCTTTTTTCCGCGGTAGTGGTTGAGGCGGTTAGAGGTGAGATGCGTTCCGGAAAAAATAGGGCGGCGCAAAGCGAAATGGCGTAGCGTGGATCGTACGGCCACCCGACCCACAATGCACCGCACGAGGAGACAGCTGCTTGCCGAGTGACGCACACACACACGACGTTGTCCGACGTCCGACTGCTTCGAGCGAATTTTGGGTAGAAACAGCCGCGTAGATACGTGAAATTTTACAAACTGAATCCACGAAGTGAGGGAAACTTGCGCTGTGTTGTTTGTACCTGATAGGTGCCAATCCTATCAGCACCCAGTGTCTCTTCCAAAGATCCTCTTATCAATACCAGTCATGGCCCACTCGTGCCATTCACGCTGCGTGCACGGTGAATTGTGAGATGCGTCTCGATGATGGATTAAAGTCTCCTGAATCTGGTTCATCACACCGGACATCTGTGAACAAGAGCTTCACAGCTCATCGGATTTCCCCAGGATAAATACAGATATTCTGGCTCAATATTCGTCACGAAGAGGCAAACAAACAAAATTTACTAACAGAACTTCACGAAGACATTCTTGTCGTTGTCAAAGGCCACCTCCTCAAAGTTCTTCCCGACGAGGACCTGGACGGTGCCGTGATCCCAGTCCACGGGCACCTCCTCGCTCTTCAGGAACGGCTGTCGCACGGCAAAGCAAACACAACAGCATCATTTAGTATCGTCATTCTGAAAACTCAAGTTTTTATGTTACCAGGTAAGACCCACTGAGCTATATAGCCCAGTCGTCATCTTCATCGTTGTTGTTGGCGTCACCGTCATCATCATCATCGTCATCATCGTCGTCGTCATCGTCATCATCATCGTCATCATCGTCGTCGTCATCGTCATCATCATCGTCGTCTTTATCGTCGTCGTCGTCATCATCGTCATCATCGTCATCATCATCATTGTCGTCGTCATCATCGTCGTCATCATCGTCATCATCATTGTCGTCGTCGTCATCATCGTCGTATTTATCGTCGTCATCATCGTCGTTGTCACTGTCGTCATCGCTGGTGGTGGTGGTGGTGGAACGGCACTTACCTTGAGCGTGCCCTCGACGAACCCTGAGCAGAACGCGCGTAGGCTTTCCGCCGAGAAGTCGTCCGAGTCTGGCTTGAACTTGTCCATGGTCTTCTCCACCTCGATGAGACGCAACGTGGGGCAGTCCTCGGCCTCCACCCCGAAGAACTCGAGCACCTGCTTGTTCTCCTCCACGTCCGCGTCGATGGAGACAAAGAGGATCTGCGCGGGTCAGAGACGCGAGGTCGCCCCCCCGCTCCCCGTCAGCGCCGCAGGTTCCGGCGACAACGAACCGGCGGCCGTATAAACTATTTTTTTTATTTTATCCTACCAAGAAAGAAAGGCCCCACTGAGCCGTGTAGCTCTTTTGTCAAAGGCGACCTGGCCATCACAAATGATTGCTCAACGAAAGTGTCTTATCACGTTGAAGTGTAACAGCAGTAAAATAGTCTAAACGCGTGGTGATGTTGATTCTTAATGTGGAGGGACAAAACCTGGAGGACTCGGAGGAAAATCCACGCGACCACGGAGAGAGAGAGAGACACCGAAAAACTCCAAATATACAGCAGCAGCAGCAGGCGTCAGGGGTCGGGATTGAACCCATGGCCTCCTACAAGCCAGGCGAGGTAGTTAACATCTCCTAGCCACCGTGATAATGATGAGAGAGAGACACCGAAAAACTCCAAATATACAGCAGCAGCAGGCGTCAGGGGTCGGGATTGAACCCACGGTCTTCTGCATACCAGGCGAGGTAGTTAACATCTCGCTACCGTGGCGCACCTTAAAGACCCCCCCCCTGTGACGTCACGTGCTGGACGGCGTCACGGGACCGCGTTCGCCACGTCCCAAGTATGACCGGGATAACTTTACTTGAGAAACATCGCGATCGTCGCCCCCGCTGATGCAAACACTTGTGGCAGGAACCTCCTGAAAATGGGAGATTTGTGGCTTTCCCGGATAAGCCGGCTCAATAAAAAGAATAATCAGGACCCTGTTCAGCAGGAAGCAAGAGGCCCATTAGAGATCGAGGGGGCATCTATAATAGGATCGCCGTGTACTTATATTCTCACGTCAGTAGGCCTCACACTGGAGTCGAACTTTGCTCAGAGACTGCTCAGCCGCTCGCCAATCGTAACCAACATTTCCAATTCGCCGCAGCTGGAATTCTTTCTGTCGCGTTAAAGCCAAACGTAAAACGGCGGAGGTTTTGCGTAGGTTTAGCAGGCATCGGCGACCGTGCCGAGGGCCATCAGCTCCACTTGAGAACCCGGTGAATGCTAAAGAGCGGATGCCTGCATTCGAACCCGGTACACGAGCAACGGCGATCGAAACGCACGCCCCTGACATGGCCACGATGGTCGCCGCCCCGAGACAACGTCGACTCGAAGCAAAGGGACGCGAAAGCGTCACCTTGTCCCGGAACTCCGGGGCCACCTCCCGGAAGTTGTTCTTGATCTCCTGTAGGTTCTCCGTGCCGTTGGAGAAGAAGAGGACGTTGTGCACCTTGACGCTGTTGCTGAAGAGTTTGTTGGCGATCTGCAACGGGCGGAGGTGGACGGGCGAGCGATAAGCGGGAGAGTTTGCGAGCGGGCGTCCGGGATGGGGTGAGCGGGTGGATTAGTGTGGAGAGGACTTCATGCTGTGCGGAGGAGTTTCAACGTGCATACCAGGCGCATTGATCGTTATCATATTAACAAAATAGAAAAAATCAACACATTCGTCAATAGCAAAATAAATCGTACGTGATCATTGCAGGCAACGTTTCGGCCCATGCACCCCTCTGCATTGGCCGCAAGAAGACGGGCCATTGCCCGAATCCTCGGCAATTGTATACTTTTTCTTTTCAAGGTGACAGTGTTATTGACGAATTAGTTGAGCTGTCTTTTGATGCACGCTTGCGCACCACTGCCAACGTAGTATCGCCACGTAATTTGTCGTACGCGTGCGCGTTGAACTTCTTTCGCACCGTACGTAGCCAACCGCGCTGATCGGATGTGTGGGGGGAAGGACAACAAACTAGACACAAAAGAAGAATTGAGTCTTCAATCTCGATGATTTAAAAGTGCATTGCTCAAAGTGGTTTCCTAAAATCGAAAGGAAAGAGCGTTCCAGACGGCCGCAGAAGCGCATCTGAGAGCGCCGCGCGACGCCGGTGGCCGCCATCCCCGCGGCTCCATGGAGGCTGACGCTCACCTCGCTGGAGAACTCGACGACCATCGGGAGTTCGTGTCTCTGGATGAACTTCAAGACGCTCTCCTTGTTGATCGCGCCGTCGTAGAACACCTTGGCCTCGTCAAACTGTCGACGGGAGCGGACACGCGCGAAGCCGCGGTTTCAGCCCTCGCTTTGAGCGACGTCCGAAACGATCGCCGGCACGACGTTGATCCACGATAAGACGCAGGAGCGATTCGCAAAGACGCGCGCGCGCGAACGCGAAGAGCACAAATTCACAAACACAGCAAACAGTCTTCTTAGCCGGTGGGGCAGGGCCTCGACGGGGAGACCGACTGTGTGACGAGAAAGCAACGCGGCGACCGCGAGATGGGCAGCGGCCGGGGCAGCAGAGCGGCGAGCGGAGCAGTTGGTCACCTTCTTGAAGAGCACGAGGCCGTCCTTCTCCACGCCCTGGTCGCTGAACAGGCCCGGCTCGGACGTCACGGCGAAGGGGACCGCGTCCGTGGTGCCCGCGAGGGCCAGGAAGGCCTGCTTGTCTGGCCCGTCCTCCTGCCGTTCAGCGTCACCACCACCACCACCATCACCACCAAGCATGGTGTCCACAGGATCAGGATCATCATGAACCATGGCATCATCATAATGATCGTCATCACCAACCACGGTCTCCACAGCAATCACAGTCATCAACGCCGTCACCACGTGTAATACGTACAGACCTTTGATATACGCGTAAAAAATATTTTTTGTAAATGCTGTAGTCATGTTCTCCGTCACCATCTACACCATCATCCTCACTATCATCATCAGCATCACTAGCATCACCTTCACCACCATCATCTTCAATACCATCATCTACACCATCATCTACACCATCATCATCATCACTAGCATCATCATAACCACCATCATCTTCACGACCATCATCTTCAATACCATAATCTACACCATCATCTTCACTATCATCATCATCACTAGCATCCCCTTCACCACCATCATCTTCAATACCATCATCTTCACGACCATCTTCAATACCATCATCAACACCATCATCTACATTCTACACCATCATCTTCACTATCATCATCATCATCACCACCACCACCACCACGTTCAACATCATCACGATCAATCCTCCAATGTCACCATCGTCCTCATTCACACATCACCACCTTGAAGAAGCCGACCAGGACGAGCTCGTTGAGATCCTTGACCTTGTCGAGCCCTTCGGCGGAGTCCACGACGGTGGCCGGAGGCCCCATCTGCTTCCTAATCCACCGCACCATAGCGTCCGAGTTCCGGCTTCCTGCGCGCCACGGACGAACAATGTCCCTGGGGACCTCAGGAATCGTCTCTGTGGTCTCCTCAACACGACGTGGCTAGCAGTAAGTGCCGCACTAAGCTAGTGCGGGCCTGCAGCATATATGTTACAAAGGGGCCCTAAATAAAAAAAAAAAGCACGTAAATATTAAAACGCATACATTTTGTACTTGCGTAGTAAAGTAATTGTATTTTTTTTATTTGCTATACAGCCGGATAATACGACAAATCGCTAACCATAAACACCCAGATGTTCGTAAAAGTTGAAGGCGGTATAGTACTATAGTAATGGAGCAAGTGCAGAATCACTGAACCGGAATTGATAGCTTGAAAGCGTTTAGCGTGGGGCCCTTGAAAGTGCGGGGCCCGTAGCTACTACATATACTACATATGACAAATTATCAGTCTATAATTTTAATGGTAGGTTTATTTGAACAGTGAGAGACAGAATAGCTACTACATATTTAGCTACTTGTGCTACTTCGATCATCAGGCACACGCTGCCAGAGGGTTGGCTCGGAGCGTGGGGGGTCGCGATCCCTGGGTTCCAGTCGCCCCCCCCCCCCCGGAACGTTAGCCCGGGTGAAGTTCGCTACAATGCCTCAACGTACAAAAAAAAACAACGCGAAGTGTTTCCCTTAAAAATTGACGAAATTCCAGGCGTGAGAATTTCAAACAAAACAAAAAGGTGCCCCATCTGGTTTGACCGCTGCAGGATGAACGCGTCTCTGGAGCGACGCGCGCGTTCAAAGTGCGACCCCTGGCGTGTGGGTTAACAACAGCAACAACGTCTAAAGTCACATTCTTAGCTCTTTCGGTAAAGTCACGTTGAAGGGAAACAATAAAATAATAAAATATATATAAAACAATAAAAATTCTCACGACGTTTCGACCATAACACAAACTGTCATCATCAGGTGTGAAAACCCAACGGCAAGAAACATTTGAAAGAAGTGGCGGTTTGCATTTATATATTTATTTTTAAACGGTGTATTTATTAAAAAAAAACGTTAGCGCCACGGGCAGCGATTTGGCAGTTTATTTAGAAGGACTAGTCCATCTGTGTTCTGAAAAGAGGAGGGGGGAGACGAAAAATTAATGTATGCTGTCTGAAAGCCACCGTAAGCGTGAACAATCTATTAAGACCTGAAATGGTTTATCAAATCCTTCCAAAGATTGCTAAGCCAGAATCCATCTTCTCGGTTGAAATTGTCTCTGTGCTTGTATATGTGGATAGCCTCATGAACGAATCTCTCATGGTAGCCAGATGGCTTACAAAGAACCTCTGTCTTGGAGAAGTCAATGTCATGTGAGCCTACTGAATTATAACAATGATCTGCCACGGCCGAGGTGTTGGTCCTACCGTGTTTAAGGTCTGCTTTGTGTTCACGAATGCGGTCCGAGACATGGCGTTTGGTTTCTCCAATGTAACTACTACCACAGAGGCAATTTAGTTTGTAGACACCAGGGTACCGTATGTCCGGAATCACATCTTTTACAGACGGAACCAGATCACGGATTTTATGTAATGTGTTGAAACGGACCTAAAGTCACGTGACCAATAAGAAGAGGCGTTTCCCCTTTCGAGCAATCAAACGGGAGTTGTGTTAAGATGGTCGAGCACAAATAGAAACATTTTGCAAGGAATCACGTGACTGCATTAAACACACTCAGCGCTTGCGGTGAACATGCAAACAAAACAAGGATCTGATGATATATTATTTTACGTATTGTCTTTGAAACTGATTGCCCTACATCAGAGACAGACAGCAGCATGCTTCGTGGCCTCGTCTCACCAAGAGAACGACGCCACGAGGCGAACACAGAACAGCAGAGAGCACTGATAGCTCGGGGCACGTTTGTTTGCATGTGCACACTTGATTCCTCGCGAAAGGTGTATATTGAGTGTTCGAACATCTTAACACCTAGCGGTGTTTTTTTTCTGGAATACTTTGATATTTTCTTCCAGGACTTTCCTGTTGCGTGTAGCCACTTTAAATATCTCCTTGGTTCTTTCGGTAAAGCCACGTAGAATGAGAATAAAACAATAAAACAAAATAAGACAATAAAATTCTCACAATAAAATTCTCACTGAGAATTTCTCACTGAGAATTTTATTGTCACTTGTGTTGTGGCCGAAAACGTCGTGATTTTTGTTGTTTTATTTTGTACCTACGTGACTTTACCGAATAGAACCAAAGAGTATGGATCCTTGCAGTCACGAAAGCTTTAAATCTAGACTTTACCGAAAGAACCAAGAACATGAATCCCTGCAGTCACGAAAGCTTTAGATCGAAATTTTAAATCACTTTAAGATGTTTTCTCGTTCATGTTTGTTTTGGTTTTGTTGCGGTTGCACCCGGTTCAAAAGCCGCACGGCTCACAGGGTTATACCTAATAAGTGCAACTGAAACCTCCTGCTTTATTGATAGAAAGGGTAAAAACCTATTATTATTTTTCATACTTTGAGACTGGCTAAAAAGGCGAAAAAGTCGCTTGTTTGAAGGGCTCTTCTCGGCGGAAGGAGCTCCGTGACTTCTCACACCTCGAGGCCGGTAGCACAGTTCAAATCGACTAAATCGCACGCAAGGTTTATTCACTTAAAGACGTCCTACCCGTTCCGACTTGGCATCATTACGTCCTCACGGCAAGATCCACATTTGTCGAAATGTTCTCGCAAATGACTCACTTGGGTAAAACCACGGTAGCACCCCCCCCCCCCCCCCCCGCCGGCAGGCGATAGTCACCTGTGAAGCATCGACTTCGCGACAGCCTCGTGTAAGGGGTAGGAATGGAGAGGGACGGTGGCTTAAGGGACATGGGGAGGATTCCTGTCAAAAGGAGGGGGGCAGTGGAGCGGGAACAGTGGAAGGGGGGGGGGGGCTGGGAAACGGATTGAGAGAGGGCTGTGGGCAAGCGTGTGGACTGTCGGCTCTACGCTATGATCATCACTCAGTGATGATCATAGCCTCCGTATGAGAAAACACACGTCTTCGCCCGAGCCCATTTTCAAATCACAACTTAAGAATCCATCCGTGCCGTCCTGAAGGGCACCTCTTAATCTCTCCAGCGACGGCGTGACCGACCACCCAGAGGACAGGAGGGATCACGGCTGCCGCCACCAGCACCCATTTAGCCATTTAGAATGATCCCCCTGGAGCGAGATCTGAGATCTGTTAATTCCCATAAGCGCCCGCGGGTGGTGGCTGGAGATCATCGCCGTGCTCCACATGGGCCAATGCGAGCCACGCCACCGACACGGCGGAGGGGAGAGCCACCGACCCTCGTATTTCTTGGCCTCGTCGCGGTTGCCATTCTTGAAGAAGACGAGGGTGGGGAAGCCCTTGACCGAGAACTCCTGGGCCAGCTCCGTCTCCTCGGTGGCGTCCACCTTGGAGACGCGGGCCCCCTGCTCGGCGCCCTCGGCCAGCTCTGCGGCCGCTTTGGCGTACTCGGGGGCCAGCTTCTCGCAGTGGCCGCACCACGGGGCATCTGTCGGGAGTCAGTTCAGTTTCATTGATTAGGTGTAGAGCCCGTGAGCCATGCGGCTCTTGACTCGGGTGCAACCGCAACAAACAAAAACGTGAACAAACACGAACAAACAACGGACGCGAGAAAAATCTTGACTTCAAGCTTTCGTGGCCGCAGGAATTCAGATTCTTTGGGTCTTTCAGTAACGTCGGGGGTAGACATCGTCGTCGTCATTCGTAATAGAGGTTGTTGTTGTTGTTGGTTCTTTCGGTAAAGTCACGTAGGTAGAAAAAGAAAATGAAAATTAATGATATATTATTTTGTATTTTATTTTCTACCTACGTGACTTTACCGAAACAACCAAAGAGTATGGATTCCTGCAGTCACCAAAGCTTCAAATCAAGGTTGTTGTTGTTGTTGTTGTTTTTCTTATCCTTGTGGTTAGAGCGCATGAATTAAAATGTTGTCGCTAAAACCCGCCACAATTGTGAGCGTCGTGGGTCTACTCTCCAACACACAACCGTTGTGCTGAACTAGCAACTAACGTTTTGTTGACGTGACGCACCTTACTAATTGGCTGTGTCGCGGGCGGTGGCGGATTTAATGACACATTCATATTTAAGCGATCTTACCCAACAAAAACCCCCTCTATTATGATCATTATCATCATCATCTTCGTCACCATCATCATCGTCGGCACCACAGTCGCCTACTGCTGTTACCACCAAATCCCACATCTTGGATCTCAGCAGCAGCTTCACACTGCGGAAAATCCAGGCTCTCCGATTATTCGAGTAATCGATTTACTCTTTACTATTATCGGTTCGATCAACTCGACTGCAGTCGTCGGATGACACGAAAATAGCTGCAATAAAAAAAGTAGGTCTCACTGCTCTCGTTCTACCACGTGTGCCGCTGGACGGGAGGTGATGGTGAGCGGGCCTCGGTGACGTCACCCGCATCATGAGCCGCACGCATCACGCTGGGCGTGGCTCGTTCGGGGGTTTCCCGCCTTCAGGAGGCAGGCTTGTCAAGGATCCCGATATAAATCGACCACAACCCAAAAAAAACGTCGATGAATCAACTTATTATTTTTTTTAATGAATTAATTGTTTATTTCCCAGCTTCAAACTCACGTGGGTGGAGATGGGCGACGTCACCGCGGTGGAGGTGCAGGCGCTCACATTTTTTTTAAAAATCGAGCTGGGAAGAGTCGCCCAGCGGTTCTCACCTCCACCCGTGCCTCTTCAAAACTTTCAGGCGAATGGGGCGTCGGCTGCGGGGCATGTATACCGTGCAGGAGGACATTTCGAATGTGCGCCGGGAGGGAGGGGGCGTGAGGGAGGGGATGTCAGCGCCACATTGCGGCGAGAGCTGGGGGGGAGGGGGGGTGCCCCATCGCCGTGGGGGAGATGGGAGAGAGGGGGGGGTGTGGCGACCATCTGATGCGCCGTTTTAAGTCGACGAATTGACTAAAACATTGCAATCAACTCCCCCCCCACCACCCTTTTTTTAGGTCGAATACTCGGCCCCCCCTTTTTGGAAATGACTGACGGCGAGTCGAGATACCCAGGCGCCCGAAGGCGAGCAACCCCCTGGGAGCCACGCCCAGCGTGGCGGGGCGGATAGCGATGAGCACGTGGGAATGTGGATGAAGCGATCTCCGTGCATGATACCCCACAAATTCGATAATTCAGATATCCCAGTAACGAGCTTTGTGACTGCTCAGACGTCGCGAGAAGGGACGATGTGCTAAACCGTCGAACAAAGACGGCCAATTTTCAGCGCGCGTTTCCAGATGCCCTTCGGCGGCCGTCTGGATCGCTCTTCCTTTGCGATATTTTAAAGCCACTCGAACTGTGCACCTTCAAGTCGTCTAGATCGAGAACTGATTTCTTTAGAGCTGCTTTTTGCGTTTAGTTTATTGTCCTTCCCCCCCACCCCGCACCTCCCGATGAACACGGTCGGCGATGTACGGTGCCAAAGAAGTTCAACACATCTACACACGCACACAAACGACGGAGTGGCAGTCCAGGGAGAGACACGCGCCTCAGGGGTCACGTGCGACGCGGAGAACGGAGCAATGAAATCAGCTCGCGCGCAGCTGCACGGCGTGATCCGTCCGAGACGGCGACGGCTTTGGGAGGCCTTTAATCCAGCAGTGGATTGATCGTGATGATGGTTGCAGTGCGGTGCCGCCACCTTGTGGAATAACTAAAATATTCCCGCATAAGTTGGGGGGGGGGGCATGGGGGGAGCGGTGGCGCAGCGGTTAGCGCGCTCGGCGGAATGAAACTGGCAAATCCGATTTCGATTCCCGGCCACGAACTCGCATCAGCGGCGAGTGACATCTTAAAGCTGTCCTCCACCGATTCGCAGCGATGACCAGCGTGGTGAAGTATGGTCAAACAGCCCTCACTGTGGACACGGCGGCGGCATGGAGGATGACCTTCGTCTGACGGTGGATTGGCAACGAGCCGCCGATTGTTAATCCTTAGCAAGGTCGACTCGCAACCCTTTCATCTAGAAACGTGTCTATTTATTTTTACATATCGCGTGCCACTACCGTAATTTCCGGATTAAATACGCACCCCCCCCCCCACACACATTTTATTTGAAAGCAAAAGTTGTAGGTGCGTCTCATAATCCGGTATCCGTGCAAACGTTTGAGGTGCGTCTTATAATCGGGTATTCGCGCAAAAGTTTGAGGTGCGTCTTATAATCCGGTATTCGTGAAAAAGTTTGGGGTGCGTCTTATAATCCGGTATTCGTGCAAAAGTTTGAGGTGCGTCTTATAATCCGGTATTCGTGCAAAAGTTTGAGGTGCGTCTTATAATCCGGTATTCGTGCAAACGTTTGAGGCGTGTCTTATAAAACGGTGCGTCCTATGATCCGGTATTAGGTCAAACGTTTGAGGTGCGTCTTAAAATCCGGTATTCGCGCAAAAGTTTGAGGTGCGTCTTATAATCCGGTATTCGTGAAAAAGTTTGGGGTGCGTCTTATAATCCGGTATTCGTGCAAAAGTTTGAGGTGCGTCTTATAATCCGCTATTCGTGCAAAAGTTTGAGGTGCGTCTTATAATCCGGTATTCGTGCGAAAGTTAGAGGTGCGTCTTATAATCCGCTATTCGTGCAAAAGTTTGAGGTGCGTCTTATAATCCGGTATTCGTGCAAAAGTTTGAGGCGTGTCTTATAAAACGGTGCGCCTTATAATCCGGTATTCGGTCAAACGTTTGAGGTGCGTCTTATAATCCGGTATTGGTGCGTAACCAGATTTGTGTAACTTGATTGACATCCGGTCCCGAGTCGTTGAGGATTGCGTCTTACTTTCCGAAGCATCTCATAATACGGAGAGTACGGTGCTCCTGTTCCGAAATGGTAACATGAATATAGCATTACTATTCCATTATTTAAGCAGACGTGTCCTATACGAGGATACATACATGCATAAAGCGCTTTGTTAATATCGTAGCTTGCTTGCTGTTGGACATTACGGTGCGAAAGAAGTTCAACATATATATGCACGCGTATGCTCCATATTGCTGCACGCATGCAATGTGTTTGTGAAGGTATACATACATACATAGACAATGCGTAGAACTAAGCTAAAACTATGTAAGGCCAACTGAGCTATATAGCTGGGGAGGCTTTTTTCCAGAAACGACCTGGTCATCAGAAATGATATCTCAACGAAGTGGCTTGTCACGTGGAAATGTTATCGCAGCCAAATAGTCTTAATCGCGTGGTTAGAAATGTGGAGGGAAACACCGGAGAATCGTGAGAAAAATCCACGCGACCACGGAGAGAGAGAGCGAGAGAGAGACGAAAACTCCACATATACAGCAGGCGTCAGGGTCGGGATCAAACCCACGACCTCCTCGTGTACACCACGCGAGGTGGCTAACACGAATATAGCATTACTATTCCATTCATTAAGCAGACGCGTCCAATGTTATCCAGCACATGCACACGTGCTATGTTGCATCGCATCTGACTTTGCTATTGGTCATTAGGGACCATGCGCCACATGCTACGCGCATGCAATGCATCTATGAAGGGGTAACTTACGGAGGACACTGCTACGTACGAACGTGAACAAGGCTAGACTCCTATGAAATGTCATCGGTAAAAGCGCATCCCCTGCAACCGCTTACCCCCCCACCCCCCACCACTGTTATCAGAAGGGCATCAGCTCGACTCTGGTGACTGTAGGGCGTTTCATACAGCTACTCCAGTGGAGGAGGGGGAGGGGGGTGACGTTATATAAAGTTATACGAATCAATAGACCGTGAGGAAATTTTGCAATACATGCGCACACTTTCTGGTGGTTCTTATGTTTCGCAAGAATGCACGTTTTTAATTGGGTCTGTCGTGCGAACGAATAAGGGCTCCGGTCACCATCGCCTGAGAGCGCTCACGCACGTGGGCGCGACAATGCATGCGTGTAAGGATGTACGCACGCGTCAGTCGATGTGGTCATACCGTCTTGACGATTATTGAAGGGTTTTGTGTCGTACGCAATAGCGACTGTCGGTGTTAACTATTCGCATGGCGATTTAAAAACAGTGACAAATATCTACTCGAAGTGTTTATCAGGTCCCCATGGCGTAGCGTGCAGTTTCCAACTATCATCGTCCACTTTATGACTCGTCTCTATGTACTATGAAGGGCTGTTGCCCGAAACGTCACCAGCTGTATATACAGGGTGCTTCAACATTGTTTTAACACTTCTATGGGACTATCCCTGTTAATGGAAAAATAACGGATAATGCAACACTGTAACGTGATAACAAATGGATATTAATAACTTCAAAAAGGTCAAAGGGTCTCCCACGTGTTCGCCATCGTTGTCAACGCGTGCCCTGGAATCTTCTCTAGGTGGTCTTCAGAGCATGGAGGCTGCTGCACATTTCTCGTGGTTATTGTTGCAAATTCTCTGAAGTGTTAATATTTTTTTGAAGCACGCTGTATTATACTTTTCGGGCCACGCGTGTTCCTGACAAATGTGTTGGGTCGCCGACGCAGCAGCGCCTCGGAACACATCACCAAAGCAAGCTAGGGTCTGTAGCATATGTTATAAAGGGGCCCCTAAATATCGAAGAAAATGTATTAAAACACAATTTTTTTTACTTGCATAGTCAAGTTATCGCATTTTTTCATTTGCTATACAGCCAGATAATACGACAAATCGCTAACCTTAAACACCCAGTCGTTCGTAAAAGTTTAAGGCGGTATAGTACTTTAGTAATAGAGCAAGTGCAGAATCACTGAACCGGAATCGATAGCTTGAAAGCATTTAGCGCGGGGCTCTTAAATGTGCGGGGTCCCGTAGCTACTTTTGCTCCGAGGATAATTCGGCAATGCCTCATCTACGTGTGCGTCGTCTGCGCGGGTACCTACAGAATTCCACCATGAGGTAGGGGTAGGTGGAAAGCGCCTCTTCAAAGTTGGCCTTGTTTAACACCAGCACTCCATCCTCCTCCTGAAACTCCGACGCAGCGGTGGCCAGGAGGGCCCACAGCACCAAGACGAGACGTGGAGACATCATCAGCAGCAGCTGCATCAGCACCACGAACCAACCAGCCAGCCGCCGGAGAACTCACCACGGGCAGGCGAACACGACGGCGAGAAGAGACAGAGAGAGGGGGGGTGTTGGGGACAGGTCTCGAGTTTTAACCCAGGGGGGGGGGGGAGGGGGAACACGAGAGGCTTGGCTGGGCGGCCGTGGGTATCCTGCCACCTGTTTGCGAGTTGCACGGACAACCCTGTCAAGGACTCGGGGAGGTAAACGCCACGTGGAGGGACGTGAGTGGTGGCGCCGCGCTCGGCGACGTTTCAGGCCGGCGGCTGCGTCCATGGCAAGCGAAGAGTTGTGTGGAAATCCGCGGAAGCTCTCGACTTTTTTTTTGGTGGGGGGGGGGGGGGTGGTGTTTGTCGGTGGGAGGTTTTCTTCCCACCTGCATCGCCGTTGTCAACCCGCGGGGTTCAACGCCGCGTTCTTGTGACGGGTCGGGGCGGGGGGAGGTTGAGTTTTCAGGTCCATGCTGCGTACAGCCGTTTCAATACGGGCAAAAATAAAGAAATCATACGGTCAAATCAAAGGATAGTGTATTGTTTAAGCCTTCATAAGTTTCTGTGTTTTATTGTTGTACATTTACAACACGAGTGTGTGCATCCACATAGCAAGCTCGGGGGCCGTCTATAAATGACGTCACGCCATTTTTGACGATTTTTGACCCCCTCCCCCCTCGTCACACGGCGTCACAAAAAGTCAGACCCCCCCCTCCTCCTCAAATATGACGTCACAAAGCTCTGCCCCCCCCCCAAAAAAAATAAAACATGCTTCAAATCGCTTTAAACTATTGTCATTGTAGTGCGTATTTAATGTGGCGCTGCACTCTGATGTTGTTGGAGAAAACATATTTTAAAAAGTCTATTTAATTAAGTAGAACGTGTTGTCTAGATTTATTTAAAGTTGCGCATTTTGATGTGACGTCACATTTCTCAACCCCCCCCCCCCTCGTCACACATCGTCACAAATGTCTGATCCCCCCCTCGGTGCGTGACGTCATTTATGGACGGCCTCCCAGCAGCAGCATCGGCATGCAAGATCACTGACATGATAAGCAGCATCATTGACACCAATGGTCAAAATAAATACATGAAGCAGGTTTTGTTGAGCAAAAAAATAATTTTTAGGTCTATTTTTTTGGTGTTTCTCCCTTGTGATGGTACTTTGTAGGATGAACGTTGATGTTTATAAGGGGCACGGGGTGACCAATATGTTCTGAATTGGTTTGTAATAAGGTAGGGGGCACTGATAAGGGGGTTGACAGGTATGTAGTAGTGAGTGTACTGGTGGTGAATGTAGTCGTGGTGATTTTCTATTTGTGCTTCTCTCCTTGTGATGGGACTTTGTAGGATGAACGTTGAGATTTATAAGCGGCACGGGGGTGACCAATAAGGTCTTAATTGGTCTGTAATAAGGTAGAGCAGTGATAAGGGGTTGACAGGTATGCTCTTGCAAGGTTCTCGTTCTTAAAGTGGAAGCAATTCAGGGCCGGTTCATCGATTCTCCGCTCGCCGTTCAATAACTGAGAATTAAAAAAAAAATACTCCATTGTGTTGAATGTAGCGGCCCCTAGTGGCTGGAGGGTTTCACGTGAGCCCATTACATACACTCATTTTGAAAAATATCGATACAGAACGTGTATCGTGAGCCTACATAATCGATATGAAACGAGCGCGATATGAAACGAGCGCAATATGTAAACTGGACCTCCGCTAGGTCGACTCGGCCTTAAACGAGTGCCTGGCGCGTAAATATATCGGCATTTGGGGAGACAAAGGTGGCCGGGCGGGCGCGGTGTTGGCGACACCACCAACTTCGTGCGCCGCTGCGATCTCCGCAGGTGCCCGCTCGTAGGTCCGCACCTCCGACATGGCACGGTTGGCCACGTACGGCGCGAAATAAATCCCCGCATACCCATGCAAACAAACAACGGCACTTGGATTTCGATTTAAAGCCTTCGTGACTGCAGGGAATCATCTTCTTGGTTCTTTCGGTAAAGTCACCACGTAGAATGGGGATAAAATAATAATAAAAAATAAAATAACAAAATTCTCACGACGTTTCGGAGGCAACACAAGCTTCCGTCTTGAAGACGTTTCGGAGGCAACACAAGCTTCCGTCTTGAAGACGTTTCCGAGGCAACACAAGCTTCCGTCTTGAAGACGTTTCGGAGGCAACACAAGCTTCCGTCTTGAAGACGTTTCCGAGGCAACACAAGCTTCCGTCTTGAAGACGTTTCGGAGGCAACACAAGCTTCCGTCTTGAAGACGTTTCGGAGGCAACACAAGCTTCCGTCTTGAAGACGTTTCGGAGGCAACACAAGCTTCCGTCTTGAAGACGTTTCGGAGGCAACACAAGCTTCCGTCTTGAAGACGTTTCGGAGGCAACACAAGCTTCCGTCTTGAAGACGGAAGCTCGTGTTGCCTCCGAAACGTCGTGAGAATTTTTATTTATTATTTTATTATTATTTTATCCCCATTCTACGTGGTGACTTTACCGAAAGAACCAAAAAGATGAACGGCACTTGGCACCAAAAGTCCGCACGAGGTGCTTGGGTTTTGTGTGCAACTGCAGTGGAACGGGGAGGAGCACGCGTTGGGTGTCGTGGAACTTCCTCGATGTTTTATTACATTCCACGTTTTCTTTTAACTCACTCTGTCTGTTGTATCCTCAAATCTTGTAACTCAATTTTAACCCACTGCATACTCTTTGGGTTTTTCGGTAAAATCACGTAGGTAAAATAAAATTTGAAATAAAAGAAAACAACTAAATTAAATCACGACGTTTCGGAGGCAACACAAACTTCCGTCTTTAGGTGGAACAGTCACAGCAAGATAGCTGCATCAAGTGCGTATTTAATGTGGCGCTGATGCAGCGATCTTGCTGTGACTGTTACACCTGAAGACGGAAGCTTGTGTTGCCTCCGAAACGTCGTGATTTAATTATTTTCTTTTATTTAGTTTTATTTTATCTACGTGAATTTACCGAAAAAACCAAAGAGTATGAATCCTTGCAATCACGAATGCTTCAAATCTAGAATTTAACCCACTTCCCAATGTGGTATCGACTGTAAACTTGGTAAACTTATGTCATACTGATGACAATACTATATTCTATCATTAAAAATGAAAATATATTTTTAAACATTCTTTTTTTATATGTTATGTTTCGGCTTCGGTCTAATTGTCTACGCTCAACTGACTTTGGCTGTAATTGGCCACAGTCCCTTACGTTGTGGAAAGCTTCGGGGCTACTTTTTGGAGTCGTGGAGTTCTTCCATTACGAGTACATTTCATAAAAGCGTGTTTTTAAATGTTTTTTTTTAAATGTTACTTATGATTTATCCTCAATCCTGAGTGCCGAGCTGTCCTTAAGCTCTGTGCCGATAGCTTTGAGCCACCGGGGATAGTTGGTCTGTACTATCTGGGGTAGTTGGTCTGTTCTATCTGGGGTAGTTGGTCTGTACTATCTGGGGTAGTTGGTCTGTACTATCTGGGGTAGTTAGTCTGTACTGTCTGGGGCAGTTGGTCTGTACTGTCTGGAGTAGTTGGTCTGTACTATCTAGGGTAGTTGGTCTGTTCTATCTGGGGTAGTTGGTCTGTACTATCTAGGGTAGTTGGTCTGTACTATCTGGGGTAGTTGGTCTGTTCTATCTGGGGTAGTTGGTCTGTTCTATTTGGGGTAGTTGGTTTGTACTGTCTGGGGTAGTTGGTCTGTACTGTCTGGGGTAGTTGGTCTGTTCTATTTGGGGTAGTTGGTTTGTTCTATCTGGGGTAGTTGGTCTGTACTATCTGGGGTAGTTGGTCTGTACTATCTAGGGTAGTTGGTCTGTTCTATCTGGGGTAGTTGGTCTGTTCTGTCTGGGGTAGTTGGTCTGTACTATCTGGGGTAGTTGGTCTGTACTATCTGGGGTAGTTGGTCTGTACTATCTGGGGTAGTTGGTCTGTACTATCTAGGGTAGTTGGTCTGTACTATCTGGGGTAGTTGGTTTGTTCTATCTGGGGTAGTTGGTCTGTACTATCTAGGGTAGTTGGTCTGTACTATCTAGGGTAGTTGGTCTGTACTATCTGGGGTAGTTGGTCTATACTATCTGGGGTAGTTGGTCTGTTCTATCTGGGGTAGTTGGTTTGTACTGTCTGGGGTAGTTGGTCTGTTCTATCAGGGGTAGTTGGTCTGTACTCTCTGGGGTAGTTGGTCTGTACTACCCAATATTCAAATATTCTCAAAATGTCCCCCCCAATATATTGCTATAAAATAGATTTCTGTTCATATGATTGTGGTTATGGTTGTATTTTTATTTAAAGCTTTCGTGACTGCAGGGATTCATATTCTTGGTTCTTTCGGTAAAGTCACGTAGAAGGGAAACAAAATAATAAAAATAGTAAGCAATAAAATTCTCACGACGTTTCGTCTGCAACACGAGCAATCTTCATCAGGTGTGAAAACCACAGCAAGACAATTTGAAAAAAGTGGCGGTTATTTTTAATACCTGATGATGATTGCTTGAGTTGCAGTCGAAACGTCGTGAGAATTTTATTGTTATGGTTGTACTTTATTAATCCCTAATCTCTGCCATTACATACAATGAAACAAGAAAAGGTAACAAATAATAAAACAGAGCAATGTAATACAATACACTATTAGACATTATTGTAAAAAATAAATTGAAAGTCCATCCTATGCGTTAGTGATTTTTTAAATATTTTAGGCAGGAAAATCGTTTTTAAATTTAGATTTTTTTCTGGGGGGGTGGATCCCCACACCCCCTGGAAGATTTGGTCACCCCCCCAACGTTGACTCCATGGCTACCGCCTTGGTAGACGCTATTCATATTCCGCGGATGTTCCTCGTCACTTTTTTTTCGTGCCATTCCTCAATTCCAAAATAAGTTTCCAATGAACATAGTGTGTTAAACCCTTAAATTAAAATGTTTTTTTGTCGTAAAAATAGAGCTACCGAGATCACGTTGCCACCACAGATATGTTGCCATGGAGATAAAAACACAATTCAATAAAATCGGCGGTAGCATTTGCCACCACGATTGCTACTTTACACTGCCAAAGGGATTGTTCCGCTACGCATGAATGTCCACGAGCTGATTTAATCGCGGGCTCGTGAGAGATATATGGCAAACGGCTTGGGAAGGCTTTCATCCAGCAGCGGATTGACCATGGCTGATTATTATCCAGCATTTGCGACGTTGAAAGGCAACAAAAAAAAGACACCACCCTTAACAGATGACGTTAAAAAACACCCGCAACACATTGGTCCATCACACTGCGGTCGTAACCAGGCGCGGTTCGTCCACAAGGGGGCGTTGAGGCGCCGCCCCCATCAAGCAGCTGGAAAAGACCTTTCCATACTCTGGTTCTTTCGGCAAAGTCACGTAGGTAGAAATACAATAAAACAAATCACGACGTTTCGATCGCAACTTCAGCATTTTCTTGCTGTGGTTGTTCCACCTGATGAAGATTTCTTGTGTTCAAGGACGGAGCCACAGGGGGGGGGGGGGGCTGGGGGGGGCTGGGGGGGGGCTGGCGGGGGGCTTAGCCCTCCCTGAAATTTTGGGAAAGTCGGTAATCGGGATAACCGAATATCCGGCTGCTGCAAAATGCTGCAGGCTGCCACCTTGTGCTGCCCTGCAGGCTGCCTGAGCGGCAGCCTTTCGAACTTATCGAACTTATTAACCACATCAGCGGCTCCGACCTATTAATAAACTCCGCGTTCAAATCCAACAAAATGTGTTTTATACATTTGTGGCGCCCAATGGAAAACATAACCACTGGATATCTCAGAATATTGAAGTCAGCCCCCCCCCAAAGTCAAAATCCTGGCTCCGCCCCTGCTTGTGTTCAAACGTGATTTGGAGCTTTCGTGACTGCAGGAATTACTGTTTGTTCATTTCGGTAAAGTCACGGTAGAAAGAACATTAATAGTCGTGAGCGTATTTAACCTCTTACCACGGCGGCTCTCCTGCCGACTTCAGCATTTTCTTGCTGTGGTTGTCCCACCTGATGATGATTGCTTGTGTTGCGATCGAAACGTCGTGATTGGTTTTATTTTATTTCTACCTACCACGTGACTTTACCGAAAGAACCAAAGAGTATGGATTCCTGCAGTCACGAAAGCTTCAAATCAAATACTTTTCTAAAAAAAATAGTCTCCTGTTTAAATTATTTTTTCAATAAAAAAAAAAACTTTTATAAATGGTTTTGTTGTGTAAAATTTTTGTTTGAAATAATTCTTTCAACGTGAATTGCCTAATGAAGATGACATTTTAAGTTGTTCACATTAGACACCGCTGCAAACGCCACGGTCTGATTTGTCCCCCGGGGAGGTCTCGGGGGCCGCCTGTGATAGGCGTCCTCCGAGTGAGAGGTTTTCCCTTCGTTCGTTGCGATTATCAGCTTCTGCCATTTCAGCCACGGCGTTCGGAGACCCGTTCAGGGCGGTGAAGAAGGCGGCCGTGGCCGCAGTGAGACGATACCACGACGCGAGGTGGCACTGGTGCAGACGCAGTAGGTCGCACGGCCTTCGGCAGCGTCAAAAGCGTTGTGTGGTGTGGACTTGCGGGCTGCATGGGGACAGCATTTGAGTGCTTTGTTGTTTCGTATTGTTTATAAATGCCTACCGTTGGTAGATAAGGAAGTTATATCACTTTCACGGGAAGGCCATTATAACATGACGAGGTTTTTTCTTCATTAGAACACCATCTTCTCAGAGGTCACTCACAACAGCCCCACCCAGTGGACATGTCACGAGCCGCCACTGGTCGTAACAGGACAAATATTAAAATAGGCGACGTTTCAGGCAATGGTCCTTTCACAGCAACATCCAGCACAACCACCCTCTCTGTAGATTGGCTCATGCT